GGGACGTCTTCACCGGTCCAATCATATCATCATTACGCATTGTGCTCACCCTACCGCGTTGCCGTTGAAGTACTCATAAAGAATCTAATAAATCTATAACGTTTTAAAAAAGTTATCGATTACCCGATCGTATTTAGTGCTCGCGTTAGAGCATCGTTGCAAAAATATAAAAAAAAAACTAATAATATTTAGTACGTTATTGCTAGGTTTCAATTGTTTTTCTTATTTGTTTTCAGCGACTGCTTCCAATCTCACTGTGGCAAATGTTAGCTTGTTGAGCAAGAGCATTTGTAAAATAATAAGTTTTATAAATTCACATGTATCTGGTTAGATCATTTGTCATTTTACATTTTAAGTAGAGCTTAAGTAGGTATGTTCTAATCGAAATTGATCTAATATTTGGATTTGATTTATTAAAATTCTTTCATGATATAGACGTGATCTCTACATTTTGTAATAAACAAACATTTTCAAAACAAAGTCACCGTTCCGTTCATAAGTAATGATTGCATGAAATTCTTTACATTATTGCCTGATAAATTTTCATCAATGTTAAAATTATATCAACCGTATAACAAGACCTTATAAGCCTTCTTTATGGTGTTTACTCACATTCTGTGACGATAGGGTTAGTTTATTAAGCCGAGTCATCGGGGATCTTAAGCATAAGCAGTTTCTATACTCCAAAATCTCTGAATAACAATTCATATCCATTGTTAAGTGACTTAAAGTGTTATTTATCGTACGATTTGAGTGGAAATAAAGTAATCGTCCGCCCGTAGGCGGTTGTTGTTACCGATACAATGGATACGGACTCATTTTGGTCTCAAATCTGGATAACATTTTTGTTCTTGTAGGAAGTTTATTATACAGTGTGAGTCACGTTAAAGTGTACATATGAAAATGGATGAAACTAGACCTATTTTTATCGACAAAAAAGTGGTCAAAAAAATTTTGAGATTTTTTTTTTATTTTTTATAGATTTTTTTTACTTCCAATTACTTATTGTAAAGGAAACGTAATAACTTTTAAACTAAGCAGTATATCCTGATAAAATAAAAACAGTAATAATGCTAAATAGCAGGCGATACTAAAAAAATACATACAATTCACAAAAAATGCCAACAAATAATAAAAAATGATACTTTTTGAAAAAAATCTACTTAAAAATTCGTGTTTTTTTGGTTATTTGATAAATTTCTCCGAAAAATGCCCCTATAATAGGTGGTTTTTATTGTTTTGTATTATTCTCTATTGTATCACCTTTGTAAAACTAAAAATTTCATGTCTCTATCCCTATCACAACATTTGCTATGATCGTTTGAACTAAGCCTCTCCGGGCGCGCCATTCAACGCTTCGTTAACAACGAAACTGAAAATGGCTCTTGATTTGTAATTTTGATAAAGACAAGTTAGATTTCAAATAAAAACAAAAGATTTCGAAGTAAAATAAGCATTTAAGTTAAAATTAAAATTGTCCTACCTGTAGAGGAGAATAATGTTGTGGTAAGCCTTTGTTCAAACTATCATAGCAAATGTTGTGATAGGGATAGAGACATGCATTTTTTGGTTTTACAAAGGTAATACGATAGAGAATAATACACACCAATGAAAACCACCTGTTATAGGGGCATTTTTTGGAGAAATTTATCAAATAACCAAAAAAACATGAATTTTTAAGCAGATTTTTTTCAAAAAGTATCATTTTAATTACTTGTTGGCATTTTTTGTGCATTGTATGTATTTTTTTAGTATTGCCTGTTATTTAGCATTATTACAGTTTTTATTTTATCAGGATATACCGCTTAGTTTAAAAGTTATTACGTTTTCTTTATAATAAGTAATTGAAAGAAAAAAAAATCTATAAAAAATTAAAAAAAATCTCAAAATTTTTTTGACCTCTTTTTTGTCGATAAAAATAGGTCTAGTTTCATCTATTTTCATATGTACACTTTAACGTGACTCACACTGTATTTTAAACAATTCAATTTAGATACTAAACCAATCCTGAAATTTGGTTGCGCGGTCTATTTAATACCTAAAAACACTCATAAAGCCAATTTTTTTTGCAAGTCGGCTTTCAAAAGCACTTTCGGACAATATTACCTTCCTATAACACATTCGTTTCATTCTTTTTAAAAGTTTATGATAATGGTTAGTAACATATAACTCTATGGTTAGTAAGGATACCTTTTCCGTATCATTGTAATTACCTACTCGTTAAATGTTTTTTAAGTATTGTTGTTGTAAGTTAAGTGTATTGTCGATGATACTGAATAAACATATCTTCTTTCTTTCAAAATAATAAGTAGGTATTATAAGATGTCAATTTTTCATTTCAGTTTTCTGAAGGAATGTTTTTCGTTATAGGTAATGATGATTATAAAAAATATAGTTGGGTTAAGTATATTATTTTTCTCCATTTTTAATTCTTCTTGAATCAAATCAAGTTTTACTAGTGAAGTAGTTTTAACATATTTTATTTTGAAAGCAGAATCTTCATCAGAGGACGACTATTAGGTTAGGCTTAGCTAATATTATATTAAATTACAACAACACAACAATGCTAACTTATGCAGGATATTCTCTTTTTTAAATATTATGTATCTTACTAATTATCATGAAAGCTCACAGAGTGTCAATTTTAACTGTTTTAGTAAAAATGAAATTTTTGCGTTTTAAAAAGCACACTGGCGGCTCTACTTGACGCTGTGTAGTCAAGTAGAGCCACCAAACCCGCCCCGCCCGAGGCTGCGCGCGCGTCGCTCCTCAGTTCTCACATCAGCGCTTTATTAGCCCCGATTCTGACAAACTTTATTAGCCGCGATAACATCGCTAAGTTCATTTGAGAGTTATTTGTTTCATATGTGTTTATTAGTTACTCAATTTAGTTTAATGTCAGGAAAAGTTAGTATGGTATTTTAGGTAAAATTTTAGTTCTACTTGTAGAGCCTAAGTACAGAAATATGTAGTTTCATATTTTTCCCTGAGTTTTTATTAATTTCAGTTTTCGTGCAAGTATCTAGTTAAATTAGTTTAAAAGTGCTCTCTTACCGAGAGCATTCGCGCATGATTCGCGGGTAATGACATTACATTACAGAATCGATCGAATCTGTGATGTTACATTACACGCGAATACTCCCGGTGAGAGGAGTACCTTTACTCTTTAGTGATAACTTTTGTAATCATCCTTATCTTTTTCACTAAGCTTAAGTGCCACTTATATTTTTATATCCAGGCCATTTTGTCAAACTTTCAAACAATTCCACCTGCATCGATATTTTATACAGAAATTGACTCATACCAAAGCAATAGCTACCGATATTTTAAGTATCACCTTACAGGCTGCAATAAAAATATCGTTTTCATGCCCAGCGCTCACGTACGTGATACCATCGTGTCATACCCATCTTATTGCATACACGCCCGTATTCACAAACGATGCTTGCTTAAGTGAAGCAGCAATTCGAACTCACAGCGTTGAATAAAGCTCTGTGTTGGTTCGTGTGTGACCCTGTGCGTCCACGCGCACTGTGAGACCTCATAGTAATGTTTGTGAATAAGGGCGATAGTTATGAAAATGAAAAGAAAGTAGAGTTTATGACTAGCAATTTAAAACAAAGACCGGTCAGCGGGAATTGTAGTTGCATTATCGAGAACTTTAGTGTTGTCACCATGGTTTTATGGTCATTGTTATGGGGCTGTAAAGGTGGTCACAATTTGAAAGTATGAGTGACAATAGGTTTTGGTAAAAAATGACACAACGCATATTATAAAACATCAAAATGGTACTAAATTATTAAGAAAATGTTCTCTACCCTAATAAAATTAAGTTAATTTTGTAACGTTACTTATAAATGCACCCAAAACTCTCGAATGGATGGCATTACACCTAACTTTAAACGATACATTTTCCTTTTTCGATTGATAGTGGAAAATGTAATATCTTACACGTCCTGTTTACTGCAAGAAATCCCACAATAAGGTCTTCGTTGATTGGAAAATAATGTAATATAAAAGACTCTACTATCGTATTCGCTGGAAAACTTTTTAGGGCGTAGCACGAAATCGTAGACATAGCTAATAAAATAAAAATTAAGCCATAATTGTGTCTGACCCTTAAAAAATGACAATAATTTAGTAGCTCAGACTGACCCGGCTAATCAACACAATAATGACAGTAGGCTCTGTCCACCGCCTTCACGCAGCCTCCGAACGCTAATTTATAGCGCCCATAAAACAATTCTCCCAACCTCCCCACAAAAAGGTCGCCTATTCAAAAGCCCGTATGAGATAATAGGACGGGGGCACAGGACAAAAGTCTGAACGCAACACCAAACAGTGACAACCGAAAAAATAAAAACATCTGCCTACGGCGTCATACGAATTCCAGGATGGTTCCTTTAAAATCGACATTTAAAGTTAAGTACCAATACTTTACAGCGCAACAATGGCCCGTGCGAGAGACGAGCAAGGAACCGGGCGACGGAACTGGACGTTTTAATTTATGATATTTTTTTCATCTAACATTACACAGTTCAGATGAATCTTTCTACTTTTGTAATGAATTGAAAAATGGAGTTGTGAGTCGAACGGTTTTTGTTCATACCCAGAAACGGACTTCACAAGTCGACGGAGGACACGGCCAAGACGCCTGGAGCTTTGTTTGTGTTGGGGATCGCGTTACAAGGATGCTCTTTGACAGTCTGTGTTTGATTGTGTCCGTTTGGTTATTATTGAGGCGTGCTCGAATGGCAGAGGTGAGCGGCGAACCAGCTGCGGTCAGCGTGGGGGGCGGATCATTATGCATTAATGAGAATCGAATTGTTTCGGCAGATCAACGCTCTTTCGGTCCAACGATTTCGATATCTCACTACGCCGGATGCGGGCGGCGTTTTGGCCTTGACTCCTTAACGTGACGAATCAATTCTACTAGTTTCTTTATCAGCAAAAAAATACTACATGGGCATGCGTAAGGATATGAGATGTTCAGTACTCACCGGTATGCGTTCTCTTGTGGATTTTGAGGTTTTCTGATCTCGCAAACACCTTGCCGCATCCAGGGAACGGGCAGGGAAACGGTTTTTCTCCTGTATGCACGCGTATATGATTCACTAGTTTGTATTTCGCCTTGAACGGCCTTCCGTTCCGCGAGCAGCCCTGCCAGAAGCAAGCATGGGTCGTGCACTCGGGTCCGCCGACGTGTTCCACGGTGAGATGCGTCACGATCTCGTGCATGCTCGAGAACAGTTTGTTGCACAGCTTGCGCGGAGGAGGCTGCTCGGGGTCGAGCCACTGGCAGCGCATGTCGCGGCGCGGCGGCGCGCGCACGTAGCGGAGGAACGCGTGCGGCGCGTGGGCGTGCGCATGCGGCACCAGCGGCGGCGCGCCCCCCTGGTAGTGCACGTCGCCGCGCCAGTCCCAGCTCTGCTCCAGCGGCTGCTGCGGGAACAGCTCGCCGCAGCCGCCGTACTCGCGCAGGTACCCGGGCTGGTAGGAGTGCAGCGGGTAGGGCTGGTAGTGCGGCGGGTGGTGCGCCGGCGCGTGCGGCGCGGCGGCGCGGTGCTGGCCCACGCCGCACCCGGGCTGCGGCGACATCTTCAGGCCGTAGGACGCGAGGTGCGCGTGGTTGGTCTCGAGGAAGGCGTTCATGGCGGGGGCGGCCGACGCCGGCGCATAGCCCCACTCGCCCGCCACCATCCACGCGGCGGGAGCGCCCCGCTGTCGCCGGCGCTGCGAATCTCACTCTCTCTTCGCCCGCAGAACTCGTCACGTCCTCGATAGCGCCCTCGTTACCATAACTCTCCTCTCCTGCTCGCGACACCCTGTTAAAAATAAAGAGATAACGTTAGACACCGCATCGTCATTATACGGAATTTAAACGCCCTCGCCGATGCATAAAACGTTCCTAACCTTATGGTGATCATAACCTTCCGAGACAAATTCAAAACCATTTCTCAAAATAATAACACACATTCGTGCACCCATAACCGGCGACGAGCGTTTATTTATAATAAAAAATGTGAGGCAGGTACTTTTGGACATTAAATTAAACTGTGGGTAAATTTATAGGACATTTTTATATGCCTGAGACAAAAATTTCGATTGTGTTCGTGTATATTTAATTTTACTTTATTTGTTAGGTTGGCTCCAATCGCTTTTATGGTCGTGGTTTAGCATCGATAGTTTATTAAAATAGTTTTATGAATGATAAAAACCAGTTTTGCTGCGGCGAGCCTGCAACGACCTGCACTTTATTATACCTCGTCCTTTTTAGATATAATTATTACATACTAAAACAGCAAAAACGTGCATTTTCTACCTAGTTAAGGTTTTTTATAGTTCTTTACTTTCTTGTATTGTGCGACTCTACATTTTCAACGTATGGTGTCAGGCCGGCACAATCCAAGATTGAATATTAACAGGTACATATTTTAAAATTACCAAGGAAAGGAGATTGATATCTCTGCCTAAGGATTTTTTTTTTACTTTAATAGATTAAGAAAGAAAGTACGATAGGGACGATGGCACTAATCACAAAATTATATAAATACCAAATTCGGTATTAACGAAAAAATACAACAAATGAATCGCTAAATAATCAAGATTGTAAGGGCTATAATCGAGAAGGTGTGGATCAATACAGCAAAGGTATCAAAAATACCATTGTTAAAGGCATACTAATTTACCAGTATGCATCTCTTTACTTTCAATAAACGAACTGTTAAATAAAAACTTTTAACAATGATAACATTAATAAAGGGTGTTGCGTTAGATAGGTACGCACGTAGGTTTATAAAATTCAGTAGGTAAAGTTTTTTTTTTATGTGACAGGAGGCAAACGAGCAGACGGATCACCTGATGGTAAGTGATTACCGTCGCCTATAGACACCCGCAGACCCAGGGGCGTTACAGGTAAGTAAAGTAAGTAGGTAATCACAAAAGGACTAAAATAAAATAATATATTTTATTTTATTTTAGTCGTTTTGTGGTAATTTGTTTGTTCTATTTATAATTGCATTTTAACGATCCTATTAAATACTCGTAGCTCGATTTTAGAAAAAATAATTCCACCTAAAGTTTTAATTTTAACAATAGAAAAGTAATCATGAGTAAACAAGATCGATATCGAAGATTGCTTAACTCATGTTTATTTAAAACCCAAATAAGGTGTGAGTAACTCTATTTTAAAACATTTTCAATTAAGTACAGCTTAAGTTTTTGCAATCGCAAAAAAGGAATTAGCCTGACGGCCGAGATGAACACGAATCCTTTGACAACTCCAAAATCCCATCACCGCCCCCAACAAACATCTCGAGCTGTCAATCAAGGCAACTGTTTATTTTTTGTTGGCAATAATCGCGTTACTACAAAATAATGTTGTTTATGTATTGTTTAAAACACTTCAACGCTGCATAGAGGGCGCTCTGCGGGCCTACCTGGCCCGTTAAACAATGTCGTACCTTTCAGATTTCCATCTAATCTTTACATTATCTTGCGACTCCCCGCAGCGTGGCCGCTCCATCACAAAGCAACGGGTTGACAGATATCTACAGGCAGGCATCGGGCAATAGAATTAAAATGTGTCATTTCTGTCCAAACGTTGCTGTTTCCGATACATTCCCAACGGGAATCGTTACCATTTGTATCGTTAAACTTCTTTTCCAACGGCAAATGTAACTTTGTCGTTAAACAGCTGCTATAGAATTCAGTTTTACGGAATTAGTCATAATACTATTAGCGATGAGCAGATTATCTTCGTATCTTTACGCGGGTTGCACACGATGCCTTAAAACCGTTCAGTGAACGTACTTAATTACTTTTGTTAAATTTTAATCTAATTAAAAGCAACGTTAAGATTTTCATCTTCTCATTAATCCGACTAAAGTATGACGACGAAATCTCCCGAGATAAGTATCAATTTACCACGCTAATTATTAATAACAAATTATGGTTAATGTAAGTCAACTGACACAAATTAGACAGAATAGCTTTCGCGCCAGAAATACAAGAATATCATTTGTTAGGTATGTTTATTTCGGTATAATTAATAATACCTACTATGAATTATTAAATTAGGTATATCATTAATTAATCAGTACGAAGATGATCATTAACAAAGTTTGGAAACGCAATTAAAGAAAGTATCAGACGCTACAAAAGTTGATGATTTCTATTACCTTATTCTTCTACTTAGGTAGGTACCTATTTTAAAAGTTATTTTTATAGTTGGCAGCTTTGAAACTACATAATATCTAAGCCTAGGCGCAGACCATCGATTTTTTGTCGGCCGATAGTTTAGTCGGGCAGTTGATCAGTATGGGCATGTATGGAAGTGCGCACATTACACCGATTTGATTTGGCCGATTCTTCATACAAATTAAAATCGGGTCCAACTATCGGCCGACGAAAAATCGATGGTCTGCGTCTAAGGGTGAAGTTTGTGATAAGTAAAAAAATTCTAGATAACTACACTCGCGAGCAAAAGTATGGAATCACCCCATTCGTTTTGAGTAATCTTTGTAGCTAAACGACTATGAAGATTAAATTAAAAATGGTACCAGTTTAAAGGCTACATTACAAATTTTAACTTGATACCATCCCAACTAATATTATAAATGCGAAAGTAACTCTGTCTGTCTGTCTGTCTGTCTGTCTGTCTGTCTGTCTGTTACGCTTTCCCGCTTAAACCTCGCAACCGATTTTGATGAAATTTGGCATAGAGATAGTTTGAGTCCCGGGAAAGAACATAGGATAGTTTTTTATCCCGGTTTTTGAAACAGGGACGCGCGCGATAAAGTTTTTCTGTGACAGACAAAATTCCACGCGGGCGAAGCCGCGGGCGGAAAGCTAGTAGATACATAAATAGTCATTGAGTTCTTCAGATCGTTGGGAACAAAACACAAGATGGTGATTCCATACTTTTGCTCGTAAGTGTACTTAGGCTGGTCGCACCATCGTATTTTAACTTTGACAAACGTCAAAAATCTGTCATATATTAATTAGGCAAGAGGTTATTGGGTATTTTAATTTTAAGTACCTATACAACAAATATTCAAAACAGACTAAGGCCCAGTTTTTTGATTCATAGTTAAAATAACAAATTGTTAAATTTTGTTACTAATGGTTAAATATTAACAAAATGTTAACTAATAGTTAAAAAATGTACTAAAAGTCAAGCTAACCATTGTTCGAAAATCATTTTTTTCTGATATTTAACCACTTGTCAAATGACAAGTGGTTAAATATCAGAAAAAAATGTGTGTTCTTGGTTAAAATAACTAATTGTTAAATTTTGCTACTAATGGTTAAATATTAACAAAATGTAAACAAATAGTTAAAAAATGTACTAAAAGTCAAGCTAACCATTGTTCGAAAAACATTTTTTCCTCATATTTAGTAACCACTTGCCAATTGACATCTATCAAATTGGACTATTGGTTATTTTAAAACTACGAATCAAAAAACACGGCCTAAGTTAACTTTAGAAGTGGTAAAAATAATTCAAGACAAAAAGAGACTGGTTCAATGTATAGGTATAGGTTCATCAAGTAGGTTCTATAAATCTCTATAAAAGCTAACAATTTAATACAATTGAGAACATTGTTATTTTTTTATCACTTAACTGCAGGGCCGGATCGTGAATTTGTGGGGCCCTGGGCTGAAACTTCTTATGACGTTGTCACCTAAAAATATCGTCCGTAAACCGACTACAGAAAACTATTTTTTTTTTCAATTATGGCCTACTTTTTAGCGGGATCTGGGGGCCCCTTGTAACCCCGGGGCCCTGGGCTGCAGCCCAATCAGCCCATAGGTAGATCCGGCCCTGCTTAACTGTTTAATTACAAACACATTTCCCGTCGCTTGCGGACTTTAGTTTTTTACAAAACCGTCTACACTTCAACGAATGTAATAAATTATTCGATTAATTAAATCCGATTAACTTCCTTACCTAGGAAAACTATTTAATTATTTATACCTACTGTCTGTCAGTCCAGTGCATAGAAGAAATAAATAATAAATAAATATACCTACTTGGACATTTTTTACACTGCGCTTCTAGTCCCAAACTAAGCAACGCTTGTACTATGGGTACTAGATAACGGATATAAACATACTTAAATACTTCTTTATTTGTAAATACATACCTATTATACAAAGAAAACACCCTAGAATGTTATGCCTGTCAATATCAATGTTTTATTTCAAACAACTAAGTAACTTATAGTTCATGAGTCGGATCACTTGTAAAAGCTCTAACAGAGGCATGCGGCCGGTTCAGTGTGAAACTGCTGGTTTTAAATACGTGTAATTGAATGAATACCATTTTTCAGTAAGTATGTAATTTTGCGTTATTTTTTCAGAAAAACAAGTCTAAGATGGAGACAATATTAAGCTATAAGAATTTTTGGTTAAATATATTTAAGTAACCAATGAACCCAGAGATATTAACTTTTGAAATAAAGGTTCAAATAAATGACTGATAGGTACTTAATGGAAATCTTATAAATATTTAAAGACTTAGAAATCACTTGTTAGACAATGCATCTTATAATGCTTATAGATCGGTTATTGAGTAGAGATACGAGTATGTTTTGATGTTTGTATCAATTGACTTCACAGTAAATGATAATGATAACCGACAATAAACAGTTATAGTAAAGTAGACTTAGTACTTAAATGAACTGATTTTACTATTTTGCACAGTCCCTATCTAAAAAATCCTTACCTACGAGTAATTAGGTAACAATTAATTATATTTCTATAGTTCTATCATTTACCTACTCTACGATAAAATTCTCAATAACCGTTATCTTGATGTAGTTATGATATGTCTGTAAATTAGCTAGGTAGGTAGAGTTTGTACTAACTGTACTACCAGGCCTCCGTCACTCGCCTATGCCGGCCGAGATAATTACCTACAGCGCGCGACAACTTCAAGTTGCAAATCAGTCAGGACCGCCACGCGCCGTGACGCGCACACGCGTATTTCTATACACGCTCGGTCGATCATCGTTGCAATCAAGGTTTATTGTTCCAACAGCACTGTTATTCTTCTTCAATGGAAATCGTAATAATTATTTAGAAATAATAATTAACTGTAGTGATTTAAATAATTAAAAAAACTACACTTTTTAAATAATTTTGAACTACTTATGACAAAAAACTGTAGCAAAAAAAATATTTTACCTAATAAAAACATTAACTTTTACTTTACCGTGTCTATTTTCCGACACTACACCTTTTAAAACTGTTTGTCCAATTTCGAATTATCGCAACACTGAAGTTTATTAACAGGTACTTTAGAGATGGTACGATTATACAAACACCACTAGATTAAAGTTTACCAATCGTAAATACAATAAATGCTTCTTAAAATTAAGTTTTTATTTATTTTACTTTGCTTATACAACCCTGACGCTTGAGCTGTGAGGTAGATCAATTCTGAACACAAAAAAATAGCGCTCTTGTGAGCGTAGTAGTAAGGTGCGATTTCGAATGCACCATGTGCGTTGGATATTTTGCATTATTATTATTACCGTTAAAATGCCGGCATCTGATCCTACACAAAGGAGTGCAATTTCTGTTGCTACTATTATGTATTCTGTGGTACTACTTATGATATTATTATATAAACATTTTGCACAGTTAAAAAACTTTTAGAAAACCATTTTGAAGAGTATTTACACAATGAGGGTAGTACTAAATCATTTATTAAGTCAGAAAACTTTTGTTTATTTTAACTCTACGCCTGAAAAAGTGTCGTAGCCGTAGCTAATGAGTCACTTTAAGTCAAATGTTGGTTTTATAATGAAAAGAAAATACATATACAATACAGTCTCATAGTTTAAACGATGTTTTCGGTAGTTTTTAGTTTAGGACTATTTAACAAATTAAGGAGGCAAGTGCCTATACTAGGCTGTGCTGGAAAAGCTCCTACGTTCAATGAAGCTTTTAGCAAGTAAAACTCTGCTTTAAAACGCACTGAAACGTTTATTTAATAAATAGTCACTCTACATTCATGTTTATTTTCAATTCTTGAACCTATTATAAATGTAAACAAATACACTGTAAATTAATAATAAAAAATTACACTTACTTTGCAATAAACAGAAATCCAGTCTTTAGTTTCCCAAACGGCAGTATCACTAATGTTGTTATACGCACAGGAAAATATGATCACTACACTGAACGTACATAACTATGAAAACTGTGTATAAAATAATTTTCAGTATCCTCAACTAACTAGATCAATACTATCACAGTGTTTGGCGCGTCGTTATAACGTTAACGTGATTGTTTCACGTGCGTATATGCGTTTATTTATCGTGTGTGACATGCGTTTTTCGGCTAAATTGTCACGGAACGATTTTTTTTCGTAACGTAAGATGTCGCGGCGTGTGTGCGGTGACTCCGCTGAGGCTCTCAGCATGACTGCGGGCTCCCGCGTCGCCGCCCCTCGCTACAACCGACATACTGTTTCTTAGAACAATATTTTGTACGGAGGCGCGAACGCAGCCCTGCACGCCGCCAAAAGGGCGGGACGCCGTAATCTTTTCACCCAATCGTGCCGGCTTCAAAACGAACTTCTAAAAGTCGTACCGTCCCTTTCCAACTCGCACGCAGCCGGGTCACGAGCGAAACAGCCTGATACTAAGCTCGAAGAAAATTTCTTTGTGTTAGTGCCGTAATGTGTTCGCTTTATCAGATTTACGTTGAAAGCTCGCTGTTAGCTTGGAGGGCGCCGTATCGAACCTCTTTTTCTGGCCAATCGATTCTTTCTTGTAAACGAGAGGGACAGCAGGCGCCCGGGAAATGTCGGGCTAATGTATTTTCCTGTGGGAAGGAAAACACATGTCGTCGCTTTTAATTTAATACGCGTCACGCTGCGTTCTCGTGTCTCAAAGCTTACGAAGGTTGTTATTTTCTATGAGGCTCTATTGTACGATTGCCCATATAGAAAATTTACTGTAATAGCTACCCACTTACCTATTTTATTTGTTAATGTTAATTATTTGTCTTTTTCGATATTTTGTTTATTAGCCTTGCGTACCTAAATGGTAAACAAAATTATGTTATGATAAAAAACTGTATGTAATAAGATTAAAGCCAGTTGTGTATGTAATTTATATGTATGAGTAGATTCGGACTCACATCAAGTTAAGTATTGTAACATCTTATGTAGTTGTATTAAGAGCTATTTTTCAATAGAGTCTGAAGTGCTGTTGCTGTATTTTTTTTATAATAGTGCTTTATAGTAGTACCATAACAATGTAGTGTGATTAGCATTCAAAATGCAAAAGTAGAACTTTGAGAAAAAAATATTATGTTCAAGTTCGAAANCAGACAATTAAACGCCCGACTTAACAAAAAAAATGTTGCATAAAATATAACTTACCGGCATCATTTTTTATTTTCTGTAGCTTTTCGTTATTTGCTTTTTCAAACAAAGCAAACTCCTCAGCGTGCATTGATTTCAAATGATTTATTAATGACGATGTTGTTCGGCCCTTTCGCGAATATGTTTTGTTACATATTTTACATTGCGATTTCTCCCGGTCGTTGTCCACAGGTTTGAAATACGTCCAAACACTTTGCGTAGGTGTTGGCATAGTTCACTTATCCAAATAGTAAATAAAACTTTATTTAAGGTTCGTAATACTAATGAAGGTATTACGTATTACGTTAAACAATACAGTTAGTTCAGTTCTTAACAAAAACCACAATAAAATCAAACGTACGCTTCAGTTCTTGTCACTTGTCATAACTACTCACTAGTAATTACAACAAAACAATAGCAAGACGCGCCACCGTCACCGATTCACTGAGGTCCAAAAACAAAAATCATTGCTTTCCTATTGGTCAATCAACACATTCGGTTGACGCGCGCCACTCGCCGGGACTGCCTCTTTCTTTCTTGTCGCGACCTGCTACAAATCCGCATCCGCATCAGATCCTCGTCGATTTATGCGGATGCGGATGCGGATGCGAATGTCAAAATCAATGCGAATGTTCCGCATATGCGGATGCGGATGCGAATATTCGCAACATCCCTAGTGTGCATTTAGAGATACATTCGGACAATCCGCATCGTACAAGAATATCTACTTATACAAGTTTTGGGATGAAAAAACAGCACTATCATCAAGAAACCTTTATTTACTATACATATTACTACAGATAATCACCAATATTCTTTAAAAAAAACACCGAAAATAATAAAAATTATTAGCCAGTGCGTAGACGCCTGTCAACGGTCTGACATTTTGAATATTACTGTTAAATCTGTGCAGCCTGTAGCGATTCTATATTGTGTAACACAATCTGTAGTATTTGGGCTAACGTTATATTAAAAAAACATTTAAAAATAGTTTTTGGTTTTTCCCCCATATTTTTGTTTTGGTCAACGTATCTCTAAATGCACAATGCCAAGAAAAGGGTTAATAGAGTACCATGCCTAATTTGTCTTTTTTTCTTGAAAGTACATTTTATCCAATTCTTTAATGCAACTTATTATGTAACTGAGTTACTAAATTATTTATAGGATGACATGGGCTTGTGGCATATAAAAAGAGGCAAATCACGAAAGAATAAAAACAGCTATACATACAAAAAGTTAGTACCTATCGATTCAGCAAGAATGAAGAAGCAGATTTCGTTCTAGTTGTCACTATTGGTTGGGATTTTTCATTCATAGACTAAATTCCTGAAAATTAGGAAAAGTTTTCCTGAAAAATAAGCTTTAAACAAAGCAAATGTTAAAGATTTTAATACTATAATTTGTGACTTAAGTATGTGATCCTCTGAAATATTCAAAACAAGCAACGTAAATTAAAACCTATCTAAGAAAAACAGAATAATTTGCATAATAATTTGAGTGGATTTGAGTAAAACATATGGAGGAATTTAATAAAATTAAACCTCAATCGTGATGTTAAAAACACTTATTTGAATATTATAACAGTATTGAAAGTGCATTACCATATTTTTGTAGTAAAAGCTTCGTGTTATTATAAAATATATATTATTTTAATAACAATTTCATGAATGAGTAGTAAATGTGTATTAAATTAAATTTGTATAAGCCTTGTCAATATTTTATACTAACTGAACATTGGCGTAGGCGCAGGTACTCAATTCTATGGAGTTTCCGCAATAATAGAGCCGATAGAGATCGAATGAAATTGTGTTATAGGTTCACATTAATCTATACTTCTATATACTTAATATTATAAATGCGAAAGTAACTTTGTCTGTCCGTCTGTCTGTCTTGCTTTCACGTCTAAACCACTGAACTGATTTTGATGTTGGCATAGAGATAGTTTGTGTCCCGGGAAAGGACATAGGATTAGTTTTTATCCCGGTTTTTGAAACTGGGACGCACGCGATAATGTTTTTCTGTGACACAAAATTCCACGCGGGCGAAGCCGCGGGCGGAAAGCTAGTTAATAATACATTAATAAAATCACGATTCATATTCACGATAATAGTTACGATACATAAAGTATCATATTTTATATTTATTTTCAATTATTATTCCACTAATTACTTTATTGAAAAGATTTTGACACTAATTTTGACTGAGCATAGCCAAAATCATACGTCATATTACCTGGTTCAAATTGTACGTTTTATTTCAATTTAGGTGAATAAACTTGGTATTGTAATTTTGTTGTTTGTAATAATTGTTGCTATAGTGTGATTTGTTGAATTTCAATATCTGAAGTTATTCTTTCTTGTGTGCTTACCATGAGTTTACGTTAGGTGAGCTCGCTAGCGAATACGTCAAAAAATTTTTTGAAGATTTTATTTCTTGAAAGTAGCCGCTAGGGGCGCTGCACAATATGTCATACATTTATATGTCATTTTTTTACGCAGTCGCTAGCGAGCACACCTAACGTAAACTCATGGTAAGCACACTGATCTCAAGAACCTGTGGCATTATTTAAACTAGGTAATAGCCACGAGTTGACACGTAACTCCAATACAATCCAGCGCATGCCACGCAATCCTAACTTCCAACTAGAGCTGGTAAAGTTCCAGAAATACCTGATACCTTTCAGTAACCCGTGACCAATTAAGATTCTAAACGCACCGTGGCCACGCCAAGAATAATTGAAATAATTAATATGATCCGGCCCTAGATCGTAATTATGAAAAAGGAACATTCCACATGTGCAGTACTGAGTGCACGCCCCCTGCACGCGTTCCATTGGCCGTAAGCGGGGGCGGTGCGCGCACTACTGAGTACGATTCCAACTTTTTACTTTTTTCAACATTTATTCTCATTCGCCGCACGAACGCGTGATTAATTTAATATATTTTACTAAGATGCTTTTCTCACGCAATATGTACGTTTTTGCGATGTACCATAATAACATTCCAGTTTATTGGTTTAGGTAAGCGAGCTTTCGTGCTGGACTGAATGAGATACGCAGGCTCGTTCGTTGAATGTTTGTAAGTAAGTAATTATCGTTTTATACGCTCGTTTCTTACAAGAAAAATGCTAATTGGATTTTAGTACTGGTTTGAATAACATTACGCTGTATTCCAGTCTTTGCGCTGATCTCATATGTATTTTTTATATTCAAAGGTGATCCTATGAGATCCGAATAAGTAGGCATTAATTTCATGTTAAGCAATAGTCAATTACACTAAAAATTTTAGATACCTATGTAAAATAAACAAAATAACATAAAGAAGATGCCTCAAAAAAGCTCTTGTCACACTTTAGATTTGTATTCAAACTTGCTTTTTTATTATTACTTAGCAACATTTTCGCAAAGTCCCCATAATAAAGACTGTAGGTATATTTAATTTCCTATAATACCATTATTTGTTTGCAATGGTAGCTACAAATGAGTCGGACAATGCCTCCGCGGGGCACCTAAGCGGATCAACAGATGGCGGGCGCCCCTCTACAAACTATATTAAATTAAAATGGTTGCAATACAAGGCAGTTTTAATTTTAACAACATTCTGGTAAAAAGAAAAAAAAGGTAAATGAATGAAATGAAATAGACTAGTTTGCTAAAAAATATTTTAGTCCGTCAATGACGTTATCAAAAATATTGAACACGTAAGGTTGTCAATCAAATAAGTATGTAAGTTCAAAGTTATGATGCGATGAAATTCCACGTGACGTCTCAAAGTGCTACACTTTTAAATACGCCTTGACTTAACGGGCCCTTTAAAACTTTGGCGCGCTTTATATCTTTAAATTTTCATTAGTTTGAATAAGTGAAACATACGTGTCGAGTATTTTTTAATAAGTTAACCAACAGACTAATTCAAACTCTTGCTTTTTTACCCAGAAAACATCCTTATTATAATATTTTGGATTTAAACATCGTAGCTCTACATTTGGATTTTAAAAAGTGACTGGGCTAACTCTTTAATTATAATTATCATTCACTTTTAATATTTAACAATAAAGTTAGATAATACTTTCTAAAACTTTTAGATTT